GAATCACTTGAACCCAGAAGGCAGAGGCTGCAGTGAGCCGAGATCGCACCATTGTACTCCAACGGGGGTGACAAGAGTGAAACTCCATCTCAAAAGAGAAAAAGAAAAAAGAAATAGAACCTTATCAGTACTCAGCACTCTGTGTGCCCCTTCCTGTCATGTCCTCTTTGGGTATCTTGAAAGGAATATGAAATATTGGCCAATGGCCGGGCGCGGTGGCTCAAGCCTGTAATCCCAGCACTTTGGGAGGCCGAGACGGGCGGATCACGAGGTCAGGAGATCGAGACCATCCTGGCTAACACGGTGAAACCCCGTCTCTACTAAAAATACAAAAACTAGCCAGGCGAGGTGGCGGGCGCCTGTAGTCCCAGCTACTCGGGAGGCTGAGCCAGAGAATGGCAAACCGGGAGGCGGAGCTTGCAGTGAGCAGAGATCCGGCCACCGCACTCCAGCCTGGGTGACAGAGCGAGACTCCGTCTCAAAAAAAAAAAAAAAAGAAAAAAGAAATATTGGCCAAGAAACTGAGGATTTTGTGACTGCAGGTGGTGTTTTCATTATTTTTCCGCTCTAGTTAGAACTTCAGGAGGGGATGATCTCAAGTAAATGGCCGAAATTCTACTGGATTTCCAGTTTGTGGGTCTATGGCTGATGCCAGAAAGAAGGGCCTTTTCTGTGGTTGGAGTATTTCTTAAGAGGCCTGGGAAGAATGTGATTGCCTTGAGCTAACTGGACTTTCTGAAGAGGACTCCAACTGAATTGCCAAGCATAGTATATCGGATTCACACAGAGTTTGGAGAATAGCAGGTATGACTCAGAAAGATTCACAGGAAAGAGCCAGAACAAAATATATGTATGGCTCCATGTCCACTGTGATACGTTGAGAGTCATGAATAATAAGCAAAATGGAACTGAGATAAAGCATAACACAAAGATGGGAGTGAGGGCAGGAGGGAATGCAACCTGGTCAGCAACTCTGGCAATCCAACTTGCTGTACTTTAAGGAAGTCATTTTCTGATGTTACAGGCAACATCAGAGTTACTGACTTGAATTCCTAGGTAGTACTTTAAGAAGGATCATTTAGACAAGGATAGGTTCATTTAGAGAATAATAGCCAGGATTGGGAAGAGATTCTTTTCCATGTCCTAGGGTAGCTGATGAAATTGTGGATTTGGAGAGGAAAGCATGGGGGTTCAGGTTCATGATAGCTTATCCTTAGCTATTTGAAAAGCATGTATATGAAGCATTAGCTTATTTTTATTTGTTTTTGAAGACAGGCATAAAACTAGAACTAATAAGTCAAATTACAAAGGGGTGATTTTCAACTCAATGTAAGGAAGTGACTTGTAACTATTTAGACCCATCTGGTGATGTAGTCTTGGATAATAGGAATGTTCTTCATCCTAAGAATAACTTAGAAGGCTGAGATGTTAAATGGGAAATCAGATAACTTCATGAGATCCTTGTAGAGCCTGAGAGTCTGGTTCAGAGCACATATACTAAGGTAATCAAACTCACTTTACCAGCTCACTCCCTCAATCTTTTTATTTTCCCTCCTGAAGAACGCTTTTTATTTCTATAAAATCTTGATTCCTGAGTTCCAGGGTACAGAGTTTATGGAATAGAGTCCCCAGGTTTTGATGTAGAGGATCCTCTTTCTCCTGTCTGAAAATATCCTTTAGTATTTCCTTTAGTGTGAGTCTGCAGATGGAGAAAATCCTTACTTTTTATTTCATTATTGAAGAATATCTTCACTGAGTGTAAGTTTCTAGATTGGCAGTTTCCTTCTTTCAGTACCTTGAAGATATCATTCTCTTATGGTAGCTTCCATTGTTTCTCTTGAAGCTGCCATGGTGCTTCAATCTTGTGAAGTCTTTGATCAAGGCTTTTGAAAACTCTCCGCAACCATATCTTCAGCTCTACTTGTCCCATTCTTTTTTTCTTCCAGGATTCCTACGTATGTGATAAACTTTTCAACATATTGTCTTTTATTTTCTCCACTTTCTGCCTTTTTGTCTTTCTGATCTTTTTTTCAGCTTACTGAATCTGTCTTCGCTAGGTTACTGCTGTGGTTGAAACTTATCCATTAAGTTATTACTTTCAGTTTTGCAGTTCTAAATTGCAGAATTTCATATGGTTGATTTTCATAATTTGCATTTCTCTGCCAGGTTTTCAGTCTTGTCCTGTCTTTCCTTGCTCATGTTCAGCAGAGTTATTTTGAAGTGTGTCTGGTAACTCTGTTATCTCGATCCCTTGTGGTTTTGTGTCTGTTGTTTGGTTTTCTTATTTTCTGTTATGTCATTCTTAAGTCTCATGTGATTCTTTTTATTTTTAGTGATAGACATTATATATGAAATATATGAAATATATGTCGTAGAGCTAATTTGAAGCCTTGATGATATTCTTCTCCAGAGAGGATTTACATTTGCCCTGCTAGGGCTTCTGAAATTAGCGACCCAGGATTGTCTCATCCAATCAGGGATTGAGACTAATAGCTGGCCATCATTCCCTGTCAGGCAATTTACGGTTTGTTCTTCAGTTCCCAACCTGAGGAGTGGGGAGAGTTAGCGCCTCTCCTGTGGACGCTGAGCTCCAATGTTTATCTCCTGTGAGCTCTGTGAGGTTTATTCTAGCTCAGCTTATTAACCTCTTCTTCTGTTGTCATTGGAAGAAACTCCAAGGGGGAAAAAAAGAAGACTTGTTCTCTGGTATTCCCTTTCAGCCCCCTGTAATCATTACATTTTGTCCACTTTTCTAGTTCTCAGTGGGAAGACTGATCTAAGTTACCTAGTCTGTCATCGTTGAATGGTTCTTTATATAGTTCTATTGAAGTGGAACCCTTCATATGTTCCATAAGTTTACCATAACACTGTTCTGTTTGGGCCTGATTTTCACTTCATTTTTATTTGCTTTGGTTTTCATTTTTGTTCCCACTAATTTTACCTTTATGACTTTCACCCATTATCTGATAATAAATGTACATATTCTTTTATAGATTCTTTGAAAATCTTCCAAATAGTATATAGCATTAAGGATGTTCTTCAAATTAATTAAACTTGCTTATTTGCTTTTTAGGATAACTTTCCATTTGATCCTCCATTTGTTTGAGTGGTGTTAACTGTTCTTTCAGGAGCATAAGCTTAAGTACATTTTTAAATTTTTTTTTTTAGTTTAAAAATTTTTTTTATAGGATTAAGTCTCACTATGTTGTTTCTGGGCTGTTCTTGAACTCCTGGGTTCAAGCGATCCTCCCACCTTGCCCTCCCAAAGTGCTGGGATGATACAGGTATGAGGCAGCTGTGCCTGGCCTACATTTTTTTTTAGTAATACAGTGTGCACCAGAATCATTTGGAGAGCTAGCCCCAGGGTTTCTGATTCAGTAGGTCTGTGGTGTTGCCTGAGCATTTACATTTTTAAGAAGTTCCCAGGTGAAGCTGATACTGTTGTTCTGGGGCCCACATCTGAAACCGTTGGTTATAAATCACAGTGTTGTTGATAGGTAGAGATTTTAGTGATATATGTGTATACACACACACACACATATATTTACACGCACACACACACACATATATACATTATTTTAATCATAAAACCAAAGGTTTTTTCAAATGTAAATTGTGACTGAAGGTTTAGGAGAATGTTACAATTACAGAGTGGTCCCCACATGCCTGTGATCCCACTCAGTACTTCTAGAACTAACAAGGCGCAAAGCTCCTATGGACTCTGTGGAGCTGGCTAATTACTTCTAGAGGTGATAGTTGCAGTGTAGTAGAATCAAATGGTAATTGTCATGCAGTTTTACTGAAATTTGTATTGCTTCTTTTTTGTGATTGGAAGTCTTACAGAAGTGGGGAAAAGATCACGGTTTGCTAGGTTAGTTGTGAAATGTTCTGTAGACCCTGAAAGTATGAGCAATTTAAAATAATGAGGATTTTCAAACACTCAGCTGACTAATTCCATTATGTGACATAATCCATATTGCGTGATTAAAATCTAAATATCTCAGCCCTTACTTGATCATTTTATGGTTGAGATGGTAATAGTTGCATTTAGGGTAAAATATGAGTGACTACTTCTCTGACTTCAGAACTCTCTCCAGAAGAGCTTTGTTGCTACAGTTATTTTGACTTGTATTTGATGTACATGCTTATGTATGTGTTTTGGGGGCTAAGATCCTGTTAAGAATCATTATTCTGTATAATCAAAATACATATTAACTGTGGTGTTGGCATTTACAGAATACTTATCTGGATATGATATCTCACCAGTAAAAGCTCAGAGAAAACAAAAACAAAAACAAAAACAAAAAAAACACCCTAGTATAACGCAGATGGATGTGCCAAGCTCATTTTGAGTTTCCCACACAGTAAATGAATATTGGTTTATTATTTAATTAATTAATTTTATAGAGACAGGGTCTTGCTCTGTTGCCCCAGGCTGGAGTGAGTGGTGCAATCATAGCTCACTGCAACCTCTGCCTCCCGGGCTCAAAACTATCCTCTCACCTCAGCCTCCTGAGTAGCTGAACCAGCAGGTGTATGCCACCAGGCTAAGCCAATTTTTGCATTTTTTTTTTGAGAGACAGGGTTTCACCATGTTGCTCAGGTTGGTCTCGAACTCCCAGGCCAAAGCGATCCACTCCACTCCAGACTCAAAAGTATTACATCTATGGGTCTGTTTATTTTGCCCAGCCCAATATTGTTTGTTAAAATTTTTTATTTATTTACTTATCTTTTGCTTTTGTTTTTCTGTTTCAATTTTTAGATTTCTATTTTTTTCAATATTGCAGTTTTTTAAGAGTTTACTTACCTGAGGCCTGCAGCCTAATCTTTGCCATATCTCCCCAAGTGTTCTGTGAGTGCTAATATAGTGGTATGTTCATAGATATTTGTTTTGTGGGGATTGCAAGGATTTGGGGAAGCCAGGTTCAAAGTGTCTTTTACCAAAGGACTTCTTGGAAGCCTTAATGCCATTTTCTGTTTTTCCTAAATTTGTTAATCAGTGTTCTGACAGCATCTCAGAGGACGATGCCTCCTCTGGCTGCATTTCCCTCTGGGAAATGCTGCCTGTTGGAAATCCGTAGTTCTGAGTGATTCCCATGTGTTTTCTGCTGCAGAGCAGGACATGCTAGCGATCTGCTCATGAGCAGATGTTAGGAGGTCTCCTTTGACAGCTTTTTTACAAAATGGATCATAAATATACTATTAGGTGAGTGTAAGTCCCCGGTTGTGTGAAGCAGAGTTGTTTAGAATTGTGTACTGTTTTATTTTGTTACCTTTAAATCTTCTCTGGGCTGCTTTGGTTTCAGCAGTAAAATTAAGTATAAAAAGTACTTTCTTGGCATAAAACCTCATGGTCAGTTTTGGAAGTTCAGTGTTAGGTAACCTGTTAATACTTAAGTGATACAAAATAAAAATACAAGATTTGAAAAATAGCAAATGTTTAACTCTGTGTTCTTACTCACTACACCAGCCTTTTACTAGCCACCAAGCCATAGTTCTTTTGTTTTTCATAGTTGAACAAAGAAATTAAGGGCTTTTAATGAAGCCCTTAATACTGGGGGAGAAAAGACATTAGCATTGTGCTTTAGTTTTATGCACTGGTTTATAAAATTGTGTATGTTGAATTTAATATTCCCATAAGCACAGGAAAGGAAAATGGCCAGTTTTTTGTTCAGAATCTTACTTGAGGAAAAAAATGATCATGAAAAGATTTTGGATAAAAATCTGCAAATTCAGGATAAATGTATGAAAAACATTTGAAATGGATTATACAATGGACTCAGTATAGCTTTTCAACATTTTGTTGTAAGAATCCCAAGAATGTAAGTTTATGATCTTAGTATACCACCTAGAATCGAGACAAATACATGAAGTTATGAGTCATGCCATTTTCAGTTTTAAAATCCCTCACATAGTTTCTTCAGTGATTCTTTTTGCAACAGTGCAAGTTATGGTCCTCAATATTTGATAAATAATTGAATAATAAGTCAGCTTGTGACCTACCCAAATAAATTTTGATTCCTAGTAGTGTTTTTCTATTAAAACTAAATGCCAGCCATATAAGAGGAGATTAAAAGTACTAAGAACTCTGAAAATTCCTATTGATTATCATATGCTACCCATAGGCTGTAGCACGGTGGCACACTGTAATCTCAGCACTTTGGGAGGCCGAGGGGATGGATCACTTGAGGTCAGGAGTTCCAGACCAGGCTTACCAAGATGGTGAAACCTCATCTCTACCAAAAATACAAAACAATCTGCTGGGGATGTGGTGGCAGCGTGACTGGTCGCTCCTCAGCTACCCAGGAGGCTGAGGCAGGAGAATCGCTGAACTCAGGGGGCAGAGGTTGCAGTGCTGAGATTGCACCACTGCACTCCAGCCTTGGTGGCAAAGATAAACTCAATCTGAACAAAAAGAAAAGAAAAGCTACATGGACTTAATTTCTCTGAGGTTTAAAGCTGCAAAGAGTTGCTCTTCATGAAGTAGGTGGGATCTCAGCTGGGCAGTGAAACGTGAGGTTTGGCTGGTGAGGTTGCAGGAAGATTATTTACATAGGTGAAAAGTAAACACAATCGGGTATCTAGGAAAGAGAATGAGAGATTCAGAGTACACGAGACCAGTTTGAGCTATAAATACACAGAGGGTAGGATTCATGTAGAAGAGTTGTAGGAATATTGCCAATGTAATATTTTGTACTGAAACATTTCTGTGAATTGCGATGATTTTTTTTTCTAGTAAGTAAACTATTACCCTGGATATTCATCTTTCTATGTAAGTGGTTGAGAACAGGGAGCAACAGAAGAAACTGTTTTAGAATAAATTCAGACAGCGAAGAGAATATGAGAGGCCACTGTGAATTGGCAGAGCCTAGAAGAGTGACAGTAGTTGAGGGCCACGTGTCATCTTAGAGGAAGTGAGGAGAACTCTACACGGTTTGGTAGTCCTGGGAGGGAAGGAGGAATGACATGTGAAAGCTCATTGGAGGCAGAATCAAAATGGCTTGGTCTTCATAGTCAACTATTAAGTGAGGAGGAGGAGTTATTGGCTGACTTAGGAAGAAGTAAAATGTGAAATACTAACAAACACCAAGCTTGCAATTTTAGTCAGGTAAAGCTTAACCGTTGTGTGATTCTAGGTAGATTATTGAGCAGTTTTGTTCCATTTATTTTATATCCCATATCTTTGAGCTATGATCCTATTTCTTTATTTCTTGACATACCCAAACATTTTTGAAACGACAGATACAGTTTTTATATGATAAGTCTCACTTTGAAGTGTACATTTCAGTAGTTTTTAGTATATTCAGAGTTATACAGCCATTACCATTACCTAATTTCAGAACCTTTTCTTCTCTCCAGAAAGAAACCCTGTACCCATTAGCAGTCACTCCCTATACACATTTCCCCCACCATTGATCCTGGCAATGTCTGATCTAAATAGAATCATACAAAATGTGACATTTTGTGACTGACTTTCTTTAAAGTGACAGAAGCAAATGCCTGAAGAGGCTGGGGTTTAGAGAGTGTTTGCTGTGCAACTTGACAACTGATTTTTTTAAGTTAAAATATTACTGTGTCTTTGTATATGTGACATATTATCCTTTAGATGACCCTTTTGCTTCAATTATTCGAATTTTTCCTAGTATTCTTGAACTGTCTCAAACAGCAGGATCCCTTTGGAGACAAAGAGCAGGAATTTGGAATACATATTGACAAAAATGAATGTAATTTAATACAGTAGAGTCAACCACTTTTAGGTGTCAATGCTGCTGAGCATGTATTAAGGAAAAGTTTATTTATCTTACTTTTTTGTGAAGGTACTAGAACTACTTCTGTCTTCTGTTTAGATTTCAATGTAAACATTTGCATAGCTATTATGTGGTTGTACAAATGTACTTTCTTTTGACCTGAAAATGCAAAAACTTCTTTTCTTCCCACTATCTGAGACTCTGCAACTTGAAAGGAAGAGGGGGTACTTTTAAAGGAAAGGTGGTGATGGTTGGATAATGGGTGGCCATCAAACACTATATGCTTCCTTTTGCCAAAACAAGTTCCTGTCTACCATCAGCTTTTCCAAAATTTGAAGATTAAGTGTTGTGTTAACTCATTAACTAATGAATAGACTTTGAGCAGTTGTGGAATCAAAATCTCAGTGAGTACCTGGATGTTCTAATTCTGTTAAATCAATGAGTACACATTATGTGCAATATCTCTCAGCCCAGTGGCAGATTTATGAGTGAGAGATCGATTTCTATGTTTCAGAAATCAAATACACAAAGAATAAAAATTTTTAATCCCATGATTCTTTACCTGAGTTTAGTTTTTTGGAGAGTTTTTCTTTTAGATTTTCTTTCCTTTCCATTAAAACTTTCACTTGAAAGATCCCAGGGAGCGCACAAAGGCAAGGAGTTTACTGCTTGGATTCTCCAGTGGCAAAGGAGTTAAAGAGGACTTTTTTCCTCATTTTGTTATTGTATAATGTCATGATAATAAATTATTAAGCTGAATGGTCTACAGTAGAAGTTTTTAGATGCCTTCTCTGCAAAACAATTTGGTTTAATATGCAAGGATGCCTTTGTCAGCTGAAGCCAGCGATGCAGGCTAGAGGTCTTGGCAAGTCTTCTGGGGGAAATACAGCATTTGGAAGGTAGGAAGCAAAGGAATCTTAGGCAAAGGAAAGGTGTGGCTGAGCCCCAGAGGAGAGAATAACAGTTTGTGGTGACTTGGTGTCCACGAGATCCAATCAGTGTCTTAGCTTTTGTGTTTTCAAAATTACCAAGGTTTTTGTTCTAAAACTATCATTCCTTTGATTTTACTTAGGCATGCTATCTGTGTATCTTGAAATTTAAAAATAACATTAAAGGAGAGAATGAAATGATTTTGTTTGAGAAAGAGTTAAAAGGTTAAACATCTGATCTAAATAATTTTCTTTTTTTTTTTTGAGACGGAGTCTCGCTCTGTCACCTGTGACTAAGTGCAGGGCACAATCTCAGCTCACTGCAGCTCCGCCTCCCGGGTTCCCGCCATTCTCCTGCCTCAGCCTCCCAAGTAGCTGGGACTACAGGCGCCCGCCACCTCGCCCGGCTAGTTTTTTGTACTTCTAGTAGAAACGGGTTTCACCGTGTTAGCCAGGATGGTCTCGATCTCCCGACCTTGTGATCCGCCTGCCTCGGCCTCCCAAAGTGCTGGGATTACAGGCTTGAGCCACCGCGCCTGGCTAATAATTTTCTAATGGGAGATTTGGTAAGAATCCCCAGAAGTTGTCTTTGGTTCAGAGAACAGTCTTTAGGCTTAGAAAGGACTTGAGGAGTCCCACAGAGGAGCCACATGCTGTGAACCATTTGATTCTCTCAACAGAATGGATAAAAATAATTTGAACCATGAAACCATGCAGACGTTCATATTTTGGATAGGGTAAGGTCAGGGTACATTGTCAGAGGAAAACCCTTGGCCATCACAGGATGGGAGAGAAAGTTTCCGCTGCAAAGAATACTCAAATATCATTTAAAGGAACGGGTTCTTCTGCCCTTATTCTTTGGAATATTTAGGCCAAGTTCTTAGTTTTTGACATCATCAAAATTTCTTTTTTTTTTTTTTTTTTTTTTTTTTTTTTTAGAGGGAGTCTCGCGCGCCGCCCAGACTGAGTGCAGTGGCCGGATCTCAGCTCACTGCAAGCTCCGCTCCCGGGTTTACGCCATTCTCCTGCCTCAGCCTCCCGAGTAGCTGGGACTACAGGCGCCGCTACTCCGCCCGGCTAGTTTTTGTATTTTTTTAGTAGAGACGGGGTTTCACTGTGTTAGCCAGGATGGTCTCGATCTCCTGACCTCGTGATCCGCCCCGCCTCGGCCTCCCAAAGTGCTGGGATTACAGGCTTGAGCCACCGCGCCCGGCCAACATCATCAAAATTTCAAAGTATTCTGTTCTAAGAGCCATTTCAAACACTAACTAGAATTGCAGAGCAATTACGTGAGAGTAATACCATTAGAATTTTTAAATTATCCATAGTCCTATATCCTTAACAAGTATGTTCATGCTTGCATATCTTCTTCTTATCTTTACTTTGTGCGCATTTCCTCTTAATAATGGCACAT